TTCGATTAGTTGGTGTAGGAGTTAGAAAAGGGGTTTCGTCTGTGTTTAGCGGTGTCGGTGAGATAATTTCAGAAGCATTTCTTTTTCCTGATTGCTTATTGTTTTCACGGGCAGGATCATATGAGGGTGGCTCTTGATTCGTTTCTACTGTTGATTTATGAGTTTGGTAGCTTGAGGATGAAGGGTCGTTCATGTGATGCTGAGAAGATTGAGTATTTTGTTGGTTGGTGGTATTCGTTTCATTGGTTTGTGTAGGAGTGTGAACGTTGTTGGGGCATTTAGATGCAGTGTGACCGTTCATTTTACATTTGAAGCAAATGTGGTCATCAAGAGCTAAAAATATACGATACGTTGTTTCTTCGAATGTGATTAGAAGTGATTCTGGAATGTTGATATTCGGTTGAGTCTTGGAAATGGAAATGATGAGTCTTTCATTTGGTGAGACTAATTTTCGAGCTTGAATTGGTATGTTATCAATGGTTATTAATCCTTTATGATTATAAATGAAGTTGTTGATAGAGTCTTCGCTTGATAAGTAAATGCATATCCGGTTGTTAGATATTCTTGAAGAAAACAAAATATTTTTCGGCTGTATGATCGTTCCAAGGGCGATTACATAGTCTTCAAGTTTAGTATTCTCGATAGCATTGAAGACGATGGCTTGTTTTTTATTTGGAAATATGGTTGATGATGTAACTGAAGAGTATGATTCAGGTAGTTGATTGGTGTTGTTCTGAGAATTCCTGTAGTCAGAAGTCTCGTGGTCATTCTTTGATATTTCCATTATTCAGCGCATTTGTTTTTGCTGAATACGGTCCTGGCAGCCTACGGTTGATAAGCCGTAGGCTGTTTCGGTATTGTTGTTGATAATATTTTATTTAGGTTATGGAAGATGCTTACAGATTACTGCTTACTTCGTATTACACTATTTAGCACTTGATAAATACTTTGTAGTTGTTGTGAATTGTTTAACGAATTGAAATTTATCTAAAATTAACAATTTTCGGTTCTGAATATGAGCACAACTTTCTGTGATCGTGACAGGACCGTAACTCAATGAATATTTTTCATTATATATTTTTCAAATTAATGAATAATTCCTTCCTACGTTAGAAACTAACCGGTTCCACTAACCCCTCACTCCTAACTAACATGGCGCTAATGATAGTCTACGAGAATTATTTATATATTCGAAAGCTGAAATTTTACTTTTTTACGTAGTGATGCTGTTACAAATCATTATGATTCAATCAAAGTAGACTAATTTTTTATTTTTTCCAATATCCCAAGTGAAAAATCTCTGTTATTTACAGTGCAAATTATATTGGTTTTTGGAAAAAAAAATTGAGTTGAAAAATGTGTGTTTTTCGCTGTAAAATTTTCATGCGAGTTTTCGCGACATAAATGAACGCTTTACTGCGTTCTTTTTTTGATATACATTTAAATCGTTTTTTGTGAAAATTATACCGTGAAACATTATAATGCCATCAATATGGGTTTTCTGGAAAGAAATGGGCTCAAAAATGCGCTTGTTTTCGTTGCAGTTGAAGTGGTCAAAATGACAAAATGATCTTTCCAACAATATTTTTGCTAAATTTCAGTACTAGTTTTCTCGACAGAAATGAACGCTCCATCGCATTATATAATCGAATAATATACATTTCATATTGAGTCATTACTGACTCAATATGAATTTTCTAAGTTCATCGAAAATGCATGTGCTGTGTTGATAACCCCCGCAATGTTTGTTTCCTCTTTATTATCAAATTCAGTTTCTCCTCCCCTTCCGCATTGGGAATCTTGCACCTTGATTATCCGACAACCTCATTGACGGTCACTTAGCTGGAATCTCTCCAGGGGGCTATTTTGTAGGCTATTGAGGTAATTCCAGATGAAGGGCCACAGGTACAATCCAGAGCTGCGTGTTTCGGCCTGGATGGTTACAGGTCGTCTGTGAGGATCAGGTTAGCGTCGAATGTCTTGCTAATGTAGTTAATACCCTGTAACCATGGGAGGTTCTCTGAAATGCGTCACAAATCTATGTTGCTCACCTACCTGACGGAGGCAGTCACAGACTGACCTCCGACCAGGTCCATACTAATATGAGGAAAAGTCAGGCCCTGGTCAAACATGGACCTACGCTGTTGACGATGGATCCATGGCCGTGCTGGCGAAGATGGGTTTCAGACCACATTTTGGTTTTGGGCAGGTTTTATTTTATCCTGAAATCCGAGCACCCTGTCAGCAGGAAACTACTCAACCGAGTCTCTCTAGTGTACCCATTAGAGTAAATAAAGTGAGGCCGAGTGGAAATCCACCCAAACATAGGGGTAACCAGTGGCTCACACCCGACCCTAGGCTGTGAAAACAGTTGGAAACAGAAAACGAAGACGACTAACGTATCGTGTAGAGAACCAAGCAAAAAGGCTGGACTTGGCTCTTCACAAGCGAAGACAAAATTCGTCCCGTCAGAGGGGTCCAAAAAACCAGCTGGCAACTTGGGTGATGAGGTGTCCTCACCTCATCATCTGAGTCAACTCATCCCTCGATCCTGGGAGAGGAGGGTGGAGGAGGAGGGTGGAGGTGTCCTTGAGGAGTTCTGAGTTTGCGGCAATACTTCAAGTGTTTGCAGGCAAACTTACGACATGCCAAGGTCACTTCATACGTCTTTGGTAAAAACTTGAAGGACGAATTAATTGACCGTGCTTTCCTGCATGAATCATGGACAGGAAATACAGGCCAAGTAACCGGACTGAACAATAGTCCTGGAGAGGTAATAGCGTCCCTTGGGGTGAAACCCAAAGCATGTCTGGTCATCAGGAAGGGTATTGATTATTTTATGCTTACATGCTTCTGCACCCAAGACGTGGTGGTCATCCAAATTTCCCTATCAATTCAATGCAGAGTACAACAGACTGTTATTTGAGACTAAAAGTCACAGCATTCTGGAAATGACCTCTGACTTTGTGTCTCCAACTGCCAAATACGAACTGCTTTATGAAGTACTGTTCCTAAGTAGAGAGGACTGGATCCTCTGGGAGAAGGAAATATTAAGAGAATATAGTTGTTGGTTCATGGATGAATAAAAAACACTTCCCGCTCCTGGTGTAGGTGTTTTCAGTCGCAGACCCAAGACAGAGATATTAACTCGCCTAGGCACCTATGCAACTGTATTTCAAGCGGAAATTCATGCTATTGAACTGTGTGCGAGGAGATTGGAAGAATCCAGCATAATACGTAAGTCGATAAAAATATTCTCGGACAGTCAAGCGGCGTTGCAAGCTCTCGGCTCCTACCAAGCAACATCAAAATTGGTAGCAAATTGCCAAAAACGACTCTTCTCGATAGGAAGATTGTCACTGGTCTGGATTCCTGACCATACTCGCCTGGAAGGCAATGAGGATGCTGACTCCCTTGCAAAGTAGGGTTCTGCAAGCAGCTCCATCGGACAAGAACCTGTCTTTGAAATCACTTCAGGCTTTGCCAAACAAAGATTGAACACCTGCATGGCAAGAAGATTCATGGACTTGCGGCAGAATCTTCCAGGATTGACTCACCCTTTGAAGTTTGATACCAACCAGTTGTTGGACTACAGTAGGGATGATCTACGATGTCTAGCAGGCCTTCTTAGAGGTCACTGTCATTTGAATGATCATACTCAGAGAGTCGCACCGTCGGAAGACAGTGTGTGTTGCCTCTGTGGAAAATGATGATACAGCTGAGCACACACTTTGTGCTTGCCCCGCTGGGCAGAGCCATACCCTTACCATCTCACCTGAAAAACCACTAACCATACAAACTAATCGGCTTCGTTGAGAAGCTAGGTTTATTTGGTCGAGTGTGAATAGGTGTGAGCCATAACGAACCTTCGTGGGTTGCAGTAGAGGTTCGAATAGACCGCCTCACTTTGGACCTAACCTAACCCCTTTCACTTCATTTGATGTGTTTCACATCAAGACCCAATTTGAGGACCCAGTCGCATACCTACTCGAAGACCATACTGGCATCTCTTGTTTACATTTTTGTAGCGATCTAACTATTGAAGATACTGCTTAGTGCCCTTCTGGTTGCCTTTTTGTTCCTCCATCGTAGATTGATTATGCTTCAATTTATCTTTGATTCGACGTGCTGTGCGTGACGATGCGATTATTATTAACGAAAATGCGGCTCTGTGCCCTTTTGGCACCATCTTTGGCACCTTTTCATTTGATGTGCTGCACGTTGAGATCCAACTATTATTGACGAAGATACGGCTTAGTGCCCTTTTAACGTGTTCCGTCGTACTTTTTTTTGTCGACGAATTTAACATTCCTCCTCCTTTCATTTGACGTGCTGTATATGATGATCCGACTATTATTAACGAAGATGTGGCTTAGTGCCTTTCTGGCCGCAATCTTTGTTTTTTCCTTCATGATGATTTCTACACTCCTATCTCTTCCATTTGACAGGCTGTACGTGACGATCCGACCTATCTTAACGAAGATACAGCTTAGTGCCTTTTCGGTATGTCAGCAACTACGATTTTTTTCTACTCCACGCTGACTTCATCACTTTATTCCTCATGTACACAAACATATTGCATCGCATCACTCTCATACACGTGACATCTACTTCGAGTTGGGTGTTTCACAGGGTTCCATTCGGAGGTCTAAGAATGACTGAAATGAAGCGCCTAATAAAAAACATGGAATTATGTGCATAGTATATGTACTGAAGTTTGAACAAGTATAGCTTTGTGCCGTTTATATTCGAAAAAATCAAGAACAATTTACACACCCGCATTATTATTGATTTATCCTACTGAAAATTATATCAAATGGAGAATACTGTGCACCCAATTCACTCTGAATACTGTGATTTTTCATCTAGGTGTATCCATCTAGTTAGAATAGTTTTCAGATCACCGGAGCTGAATCTATACCATCAGTCTAGGATCAGTTCTGAATTTCGAAGAAAGTTTTATTTTCACTAACTTCGAACACATGTCAGTTTCAGGAAATCAGATCAACAAAAAGCCTAATACAACCAAGGTTATACTATATTTTGATGATATATGTATGCAATGCAATCATATGGTTCTATGGTGGTGAGAAGTTATCAAGTGAGGTGAGTTTAAGCTATTCAGAAGGTAAACTGTTTTTAAGGGGTGACCCAGATCGTGACTGGCACAATAATTAATCATCAGTTCATGTTACTATTCTTTTTCTGTTACTATTCTTCCCTGTTAAGTGCAGCACCAAGTAGTTATGGCGTTCATACCTGTGAAACTCGATATATGTAGTATTCGTAACTTTTATTTGCATGTATTTTAATTATCAGTTTCTGTGTGTTTGAAGTGATTCTGGTATGTATAAATGAAAAATATCAATCATAATAATGTTTATTTTCTATGCAATACTTAACTATAAAGATCCATCGAACATGTCAGATAGTTATTAGCCGTAATGGCCAATCAGTGTAGAAAACTTAAAGTTGATAAATCTATATTCATAAATGCAAAAGTCACTCACTTAACACTCACCCACTCATCTCTGTTTCTTCTTACTGGTAAACCCCAGTAGTAAGCTGAAAATTTGATTATAGATGCTTGTTAGGTCTTAGATGCGCACTAAAGAAAGATTTTTGAATATTCCAGCCGAAGCCCTCCTCCGTAGAGAGAATAAAGGCACGTATGAAAATTACATTTTTATCACAATTTCTCCGTACCGTTATGTTCTTACTGGCTGAAATTTTTTATGTAGGTTTTTTTATGTTGTAGATGTGCATTAAGAAATGATTTTGAATATTTGAACTGGGACACCGGCCGCACGAAAAAAACTCGTTTCTAAAATAAAATTACCTTTTCATCACTATTTCTACGTAACGCTATATTTTTGAAGGCTGAAATTTTGTACGCAGGTTCGTTTCATGTTGTTAGTTTGTAATTAAGGGTGATTTTTAAAGATTCCAACTGGGGCGTCAGCCGCGAGAAAAATAGGCGCGTTCATAAAATAACATTATTTTTTTATCATTGTTTCTCAGTACCGCTAAAATTTTGTAAGTAACTTCGTTTTATGTTGTGGATGCGCAAAAAGAATAAATTTTTGAATACTCAACTGGGGCGCCAGCCCCGGGGATAAAGGCGTGTACATAAAACAAAACTATTTTTCATCACTGTTTCTCCAGGCTCTTGAATTTGCATTCGGTGAATTCATATTTAGTACCAACATTGCACTCGTGCGGAGGCGGGGAAATTGTTGGTGAAGTCTTTTTCAGATTATGTTTCCAGAAAGATCCTTTTCAAAAATGATTTCATGATGAATGGTATAAAGCTCACCTGAGATATTACCCCATTTTTACAATTCGCTGAGGTTCTAATAACAGATAATATATTTCTGAGAAGAATATGCAAAAAGATTCCAAGATATCAATTATATCATACTAGTTATTGCCCGTGGCTTCACCTGCGTAGAAGTTGGTTTGTAATATTAAGTGTCGTGACAAAACATTTCAAACAAATTCATATTCTTACTTAAAAAAAAACAGTAACAAAAAAAATATCAATTGCACTAAGGCTGCCTCTTAGCTCATGAGTCCACTCAAAGCGTTCGTTGTCATTCCAGGGTTGTCATCGTTAGGCAAATCATCGTTATGGGCCCCATCACCTCGCCTCTAACCCCTCCAAGTGTATCAAGTATGGGGTACACAGCTGGCACCGGAAGGAGAATAGTGTTCTTCCTCCCGAGTGCGCCTGGGCTGCCGGTCCAGTTTTGCACCAATGGGGAATGTTTCTCAATTTGGGTTATTACAGAAAATGCAAGTTTGAACGAAATAAAGTTGAGTTTAATTCATGAGATTTTCAAATTCACTCCGAAAAGTATTCAAAGTGATGTTTCAAATGTTGGGTTTTAATTTTCAAAAGGATTTGTTTCTAATTAACATATTGGTAACAGCGCCTATATGGAATTGAAATAATTTAGACGTACCTAGATATTCTACTTTGAAAAGGGAAAATTATCTTCCTAAATCAACAATTAAGGCAAAATATGAATTATAGTTCAATACCATCTCCACAAGCTACATAAACAACAGTTGCTTTGTTATTTATTCATATAGATAGATTAGGTGCACAAAATGTCATATGTCACAGAATATCTCAGAACCCGGAACATAAGTAAACAGAACAGCACCTCTTGTTTGTCTCATACAGGTAACAGATTCATTGTCCTTTATTAGCTATAACCGATGTTGCCAAATGGTGAAATAGAAACGAATCCCTTTAACTGTCGAAAACATTATTTCATTCCTCTTTTTAAAAGAATTAAAAAAATTTTTTAAAGAAAAAAGTTGAAATGATTAGTTTAAAATGCGTTGTTTAAGAGCTCTTTCATGAAAACTACTTGATTTTCGTCAGGAGGAACATACCCCATTGCTCGTGTATATCTGGTGGCGCAACTTACCAAAGACCTCAGGTGTTAGTGTAGTGTAGGTTTATTATTATTATACATCAAATAACTTTGCTACCTAATTGTTGAGTTCAACAGCCATATCTTCAACGAATCTGTTTTAATTTCTAAATATAAACACAAAACTATTTGAGTAATTTGTTTTTATACGAATATTTTCAGGTAATTATTGATCAACGGTAACGATTTATAGGATAATTTCATATCATCTGTGAATCCATTGAACATTGAAACACTTCAGGAAAGCTTTAAATATACAGGGCTTTTCATAACGAGCGTTAATTAGCCGTTTCTGACAAACTATCTAACGGATCGACCTGAAAATTTCACAGTATGCATAAATCAATATGACCTACACGCCTAAAATATATCAGAGGGAGCGGCGTTGTGGCTTCTACTATAAAGTAGCGGCATCTTTGATTTTTCAAATGGAACACCCCGTATATAATATCATATTATGATTCATTATCACTTTGTTAACAAATTCATATACTATTTCCCTCTACCTATCTATCACCGTTTAGAAGATATAAATTAATTTCGATATTTTTTTTACCAAACATGAACTTTTATAAATGCTGATAATCTTGAACTCTCTTG